GCCTTCAGCCTCAGGCCTCAGCCTCGGCCTGCCTCAGCATCAGCCTGCCTCAGCATTCAAAATGTGGCCCGGGAATGGAGTTCTGGGAACTCGAAGACCACGAAGTGGCCTACAGTTGGCTCCGAGCATTCAAAATCATGCCCAAGAATGGAGTTCTGGGAACTCGAAGACCACGAAGTGGCCTACAGCTGGCTCCGGGCATACAAAATCATGCCCAGGAGTGGAGTTCTGGGAACTCGAAGACCACGAAATGGCCTACAGTTGGCTCCGGGCATTCAACATCATGCCCAGGAATGGAAGTCTGGGAACTCGAAGAACACGAAGTGGCCTACAGTTGGCTCCGGGCATTCAACATCATGCCCAAGAATGGAGTTCTGGGACCTCGAAGACCACGAATTGTGTGTATATAATTTTTTGCTTAAAACGACTTCCGCGGATTCTCCCCGGCACCCGTCCGGCATCTGCCCAGACCCCCCCTGGGGAGTCATGATGCTTTATTTTGAGACCACTAGAAACCTATCAGTCTTCGCTGTTAGGTAAAAAATCAAACAACGCAGAAACTTAGCAACAAATGCTCAACAAATCGTCCCCAGACCATTCTTGACTGTATTCGAATATTCCTCCTGCAGAGGGACACGCCCGACTTAAAACTTGCGTAGCGTACGAATTCGAGCGTGATGTCCGAGAGCCCACGAGCTCTCAAGCCAAGCCCAGCACGCGTGGTCCGCGAGGGATCCTCTAGGATATGAGCTAGGTCGGAATCGCCAGCTGCACTGGCCAAGGTTCCGTGGGCAGTCGGACTGACAGATCCTCAACACTCGTCCTCGCACTTCTGTTCTGCCCCTGCCACCCTCCGGACTCATCCGCGCCGCTCCCGCCCCGCTCCTCCCCCACGTGCCTCTATCCCCGCCGGTCCTCCTCCAGCAGGAGGAGGAAAAGGGGCCAGGAGAAAGGGAGGAGGAGGAGGAGGAGGAGGAGGAGGAAGAGGAGGAGGAGGAGGAGGAAGAGGAGGAGGAGGAGGAGGAGGAGGAGGGAGGAGGAAGGAGGAGGACGAGGAGGGGGAGGGGGGAGGAGGAGGAGGAGGAGGAGGAGGAGGGGGAGGGAGGCCGAGAAGGGGGAGAGGGAGGAGGAGGATGGAGGAGGAGGAGGAGGAGGAAGAGGAGGAGGAGGAGGAGGAGGAGGAGAGGAGGAGGAGGAGGAGGGAGGAGGAGGAGGAGGAGGAGGAGGTAGATAGAGCGGCATTGGGGGGCAAGGTAGTGCATTCGGCCGCAAGGATAAACCCCCGCCGTCGCCGCTCAGAGCGGCACCTTCATTGTGATCTCGGCGCCACGCACGCCAATCACCTTGCCGAGCGAGGCGTAGTCGCATCGGCCATATATATATATATATATATATATATATATATATATATATCTCATACTCGTTGTCATAGCCCTGCCCTCCACGCAGCCAGCTCGGCCTCCATGACTCCCTTAAGTGGTTGATCCGTCTTCGCCGTAGCTCCCACTTGGATCGGCGCGCTGTGGTTGCTGTCCCTGGTGTTGCACTGCTGCTTCGGCTCCTCTTGCGGAACCTCCTCTGCCTCGGCGACGGTCCTGGGCCCCTGCGCGAGATGCAGTGTGAACTTCGCGTGGTAGCTGTCATCGCACGTGCTGAGCTTCGGGTGCTTCACTTTGTAGAGGTCTGTCTCCACGCTGAACTGGTCCACTAACTCCCCGTGCTCTGTGAGACTGCTCTTAGTATTGTCGCCCACGTCCGCGGGGCAGGGGGACGAAGCGAGCGAGCGTCCCTTGCCCGCCTCCTTGCGCTTGCCCGCGTAGCTCTTCCTGCAGGCATGGAGCGCCTCGATCCCCTCGGACTGAGCCGACGTCGGATACGTGCTGTAGACGGCGAAAACGACCCAGGCGATCTGCTGAATGTTGGACATCACTTGCTTGATCATCTCCGTGAGCGATTTCTTCAGCTTGAGGTCGCCCTTGGCCTGGTAGGCTTCTCCTCCGCGCTGTTGGCGCGCGGGGTATTCGCGACGCCGATGAGGCCAGCAGCCGCGAGCCAGGGGAGGTGGAAGTGGCCACGGCTTGGACTTGAAGCCGACGCGGTACGCGTGGTTGAGGACTGGCTCGGAGCTCTCCTGCGCGAGGGGGGGCGCGGCGAGCTCGTCATCGTAGCCCGCGCCAGTCGACTTCGGCTGCTGCTTGGTGAAGTAGGTGAGCTGAAAGGTTATCTGGAAGATCTCGGCGGGCAGTATCCAGTCTGGCACGGGGGCGCACTTCTTGAAGTACTTGAGCCGCTTGGCGACGCCGTAGATAGCTCGCTTGATGCCGTCCTTGGCGTCCTCTTGTTCCTGGCGAACTTGTAGGTTGTGCTCTGTGGTGAACTCGTGGGAGGTCTCTTTCGAGATGCGCTGCTCCTCCTCGAGGTCGAGCTGGCGAGCACTAAACCCTCCGTGCTGGCCGTCTGCTGCAATGTGAACTACCCACTCCTGCACACTGGGGCGTGCTCTGGTCGCGCGGCTGTAGTTGCGGTTGCGCTTGCCGTATTTGGAGCTGGCCATTATGCGAGACTGTTGAAGAACTTCGGCGTGTTGTCGTCGTTGCCTGACCTCGTGGGTGCGCTCCTCGATGGCTGCGTCCTTCATGAGGATCGCGGGGAGCCCCACGAACTCGTCCACTGTGTTGTCCCCGACAAACTTCTTCAGCTTGTCCTGGTGCTTGCCGAAGTAGAACTCCGTCACGTCATTGAACTCCTTGTGGTACTTGCCCTTCTGCAGAGCCCGGGCCGTCTTGTCGTAGTCCCAGGCGGTCCTCTTTAAGTCGATGAACACATTCGGGATGATGACGTTGGCGGCTGCATTCGGTAGGGCAAGGTCGCGCGTCACGTTGTAATTGATGAGTTGGGGGGCCTTAATCATTCGCCACCAGACTCTGCAATACGTAGTGTGGTAGCATGGACCGTGAGGCACTGCAATGTGGTCGAGACTTGTGGCCTGCCCGTGGTCACTGAAGTACGTGGGCCCCGCTTCCCAGGAATTGTTCAGGATGCACCTGCCGTGCACGTCGAGCGTGTAGTGGATGGCAGCGGTTGCCGCTCCAGGTACTCTTATAGCGCCTGGGTCGCCGATCACGTTGCTAAACTTGGCGGGAAGCAATCCGTCCTTGCCGTAGTTGTCGTTCAGGACTGGGCCGGGGATCGGCGTACTCCTGTTGTGCTTCACGTTCTGAGTCTGGTTGGTCCTCTGGGGCTTCTCGTTGATCTGCTTGACCCGAGCGTAGTGGTGCTTGGCGAGCCCTGACCGTAAGGGTGGAGACGCAACAGTGACCTTCGTGTCGAGTCCTCCTCGGCGAAGGCGAACTGCTCCTGCACGTCCTTGAATGCTCGGTGGCGGGCTGGGAAGCGCGGTCACACGATTGATGCGGTAGAGGTTGCAGATCGCGCTGGCCACTCCCGCTTGGTTGTTGGTGGTAGGGCCGTTGCCGAAGCTCCTCTTGTCGAAGCGGTGCAGGTAGGTCTGATGCTGGTCGTCGGGGCTGGTGGTGGCGAACTGCCTCCCACGAGTGGCTGGTAACATGATGAAGTCGTCAGCGCTGAACTGTCTCGACATCTGCCAGCTTCTCTGCCAGCTTCTCGGCGGCGCGACCGTGCTGAGCGGGTTGGACACACCCCATCTCAGGAATATCGTCCAGAAGAACGCGAACGAAGTAAATATGGATGGCCAGCCGCGCTGGCATGACATGAAGGGTGCCCTGGGGGCGGAAGCTGCTCTGCGTGGGGTGCCTGCTGGGCCGCGAAGAAAGGGGCTAGAGCAGGCGACGGCGGCTGAGGAGGAGGAGGAGGAGGAGGAGGAGGAGGAGGAGGGGGAGGTCTAGAGGCTCCACTGTCCTACCCAACTTAACACCACGAACAATAACCTCTCGGGAGTTCATAGTAACCCGAGGGAGCACCTGCACCGTCCCAGTGCCTCCTGGGCCAGGTGTGGCGCGTCAGGGCCGCCTAGGCTCGCTGCGTTACAAGATTCTCTCGATGCCCCCAGTCGACTGCCCTCCCGCCGAGAACCAGGCGCCCAGACATCTTCGTCATGAGCCCACCTCCCCGTTGTCCGTCCCTCCTTCCTTCTCCGCCTCCTCCCTCCCGATCACCGTCCTCCTCCTTCGCGCTGAGAGGGCCCACCTGGCCTTCCTATTACAGGGCCGCCGCCCTGGACGCCACTTCCCCGCGCGCGCTGCCGAGGCTTCCGCCCCCCACACGACGCTGCGTGGCGGCGAGGCGTCCAACACGACCACCAACCGTGGGGACAGAGATGCCCTTGGACCCCCAGGGGGGGGGGGCAGGGATCCCGAGCGCGCCGCCCAGGAAAATCGATCGCCCAGACTTGCGCAGGGACCGACCGTCCCGGCACTCCTATAGTCCTACCAATAAGTGTTCTTAGAACAAAAAAAGGTCTAAGAACAACAGCAATGTTCTTAGAACATTAGCCCGACGTGTTCAAACAAAACAATATCCGCCAGAAACGTTCTAAGAACATTTCGTGGAAACCACAAAAGGTTCTTAGAACATTCTTTGGTAGGGCTATATGCGAACCAGGACGCTTCGCCACTGCCTGACAGACGGTGGACGGTAATAGTCCCACCCTGGAAAATTGGGGCTGGACTGAAGGATGGACAGATGAAGGGGCCCTGGGACACACACATAAATACACACAAATAACAGGATTCCCCATATTTTCCCATATTTTCTGGGTTTTTGTCTGCCCCCCCCACTTCCCATATTTTCCCATAGTTTCCTGGGAGTCGACGATTAATTGTGTCTGTGTGTTTCT